AGTTCAGGAGAATGGTACGACTGACCATAGCCCCAGAGCCCAAAAGAACGTCTACGGAAGAGCCTGATGTAGAGATGAAGGATGGCGAAGCCGACCCTGCGAGTACCACTCCAGGAGTCGAGGAGCCTGAACCACCTACGCCTGAGCTTGATCCGCAAGACTACAAGGATGGGGAAGGTCGTTCAGTATCCCCGACGAAAACATGGTCGCACTACCCGACATCGAATCCAGATACTGAAGAACGGAAAAGAGCTGCCAAGCGCAGTGGGCAAGGTACAGCAACCGCTTCCAACTGGAAAACCGCCTATGACAACCTCAGAAGGGTCAGAGCACGCGCAGTGAGCCAAAAGGTGTGCTATTGTTGTGGTTCAAACCAACATCACCTGGCTATTTGTCCCAACACTGAGAAGAAGGACGAGTTGATGAACTCATTCTCTCACATGGAGGACACTATGCGCAAGTGCTTCACCGAGGACGACAAGGCAATCATCCGACGTGATGTTGAAAGCCGAAAGAGGAAAACAAAGTCATCCAAAGACGTCGAAGACGAGGACTACATGGATGTGGATGATGAAGATATTGAACTTCCCGAAGAAGAGCCGGAACTAGGAGGTAAGGTACCACCTCACTCTCCGAGAGCCAAAGGTAGACCACACTCGTCAGACTCTGCAAAAGAGGAATACGCGAAAGCGGTCGAGGCAACCAAGAAGGCCTTTGGGAACGCCAGTTTCGTCACCAGATTCAAAGAGCCCGTCGACCTCTTTGACATTGCCGATGACAAAGAAGGAGGAGAGTACAGGGTCGCAAATCACAGGGTTGATAGATCAGGTCCTAATGGAAAGTGGGAACTTGATGCACTTATTCAGGAGGCTGCAGCACTCGGAATAAAGATGCCCAAAGTGAAGGACCTTGCTCCTGACCCACAACAAGTTCAAAAGGTTGGATATCGGCAGATTGAGGTGACTTGCGATAGAGGAAGCATCGAGATAATTCCACAGTATGGAGTTACATTCTATGTGGAGTACTGGAATGGACCGAAGAGAGATGCAACTTTCACGGATCCACCAAAGATGAACCCAGCAACTCGCATCGACAAGTTCAGCGAGGAGAGTCAGCGGGTCAACGAGGTTAGCCATAGACTCAATAGACTACTCAGGCATGGAGTGGGAAAGCATAATGGGATTCAATCGCACCGCGGTCGAAAACCTCATGTGTCCCCGAAGTGCAATGAGGGTGGATGGGTGAACATCGATGAGATCCTGGAATATGACCATGTCTTCAACGATGGTGTCGATATCAGTACTATCTCAGATGATCAACGTGAGCAAAATGTCAAGACAGAGCGATACCAGGATTTATGCAAGGCGATGTGGCATGCAAAGAAGTTGCAGAACAGAGTACGCTATCAGATTGCCGCCATTCGTATCTCAAGGGAGGATGTCTCACTCGAAGAGGAAAGGCAATACTGGGCAAACCTCATGTATTACAGCACAGATGCACCGTCATTTCTGAAGCATGAACGTTGGATCGTTCCTTGTGCAATTCGAGCTGTTGCCTCTCACAATTCTGGAAGAGAGACTGTTCTTGAAGAGGATGTGTCAATATATCCTGTGTGGACTTCACATCTCATTCCAGAGAATGTGGCAATGCAGCTTGGAGGAAGCTTTCACATGACATCGCTTTCCAATATTGAGTCAATCATGAAACTAGGAATTGTCCCTGGTGGAACGGAGGGATATAGAGGTAGTGTTTTCTTCAACCACTTTGCGCCGTGGGATGATCGATCATCAAAGATTCTGAGATCAAGATGGCCAAGAGTGGGAATGCCCGTTTGCCTTTATGTTCCAATCATGACTTTGAGGAAGCTTGGGGGAAGAATTTCGGAGAATTCCTACACTGTTGTTTTTAGAGAAGTTCCATGGAGATGTGTACGAGGTGCTTGGTATTGGGACGACTACGTTCAGGCATGGAGGAGACTCCTGCTGGGAAGCACTGGAGAGCAAGTTGTTCTAGCGGCACGTCATGGACTTTGGGTTGCTCAGAAGCATACCATCCTCGAGAGAGCCGACGAAGTCACGAAGTCAGCCTCGGCGACAGATGACAACGTCCAAAAGCTCGTGTCCCTTATCGATGAAGTACAATTCGATGACAATGGAGAGCTGATCGAGGATTCCATCAGTGAGGAAACATGGGACGAAATCATCTCCAGAACATGTGAAGGGTATCGCAACGTGGATGGCAATATTTTGTGTCCATCATGTATGCATTTGACTTCTTCATCTTTGTCCGTGTGTCTATCTTGTCAAGGCAGGCTACTCTCGTGTGGTATTCGCAACACTGTCATTTCCGATTCACCCGTTGATCTTGTGAGCGACGATGAAGAGGAAAAGAAGGAAGAGAAGGAGCCTGAAGATGATGATCAAGATATCTTGGACCAGGCCACTATGGACGAGATCAGAAAGGCTTGGGAAGAAGACATCGCTCAAACTGAAGCAGCTGACGACGACGAGGACATGGACAATCTAGATCCTTCCAAACCGTCTGATGGTGCAGAAAACTTCAAGAGTGACAATGTCGAGACCCCATCTTTCAATGAGGACGAGATCGACTACGATCGTGATTCTGATCTAGAAGATGAAGACGAACGAAACGTGATCATCGAGATCCAGAGGAGCACACAACAATATGAGGGGAAGAAATGTCAAGATGGTGAACCCGAGGATGAAGACGTCACCGACGACTTACATCCGGAGGCGAATCGACCGACAGATCGTGATGAACCGGGATACTATGCACAGCATGGGGCGACCGAGTTCAATCCCGAAGAAGGAAGAGACAACGAAGATCTCCCCATCTATTGTCGAGTACCGGAACCTCGAATCTATGCGCATCAAGAGAGAGCCTACTGTCAGGACGTCTCCGTGAATGCATCGGGTTTGATGGATAGGTATGTGGTCAAATGTGTGCTGAACATGATCTCCCTGATGTACAAGAGCTACTATTGCACCAGCCTTACCGACTTCAAAGCAAATTGGAAAAGGAAGCGACTGGATGTGATAAGCAAGTTCGGTACAGAGGATTTCACTGAAATCGATGACGATGGGAGACCATTGGATCCAACAGATGACATGATGAGAATCTTTGCCAACGAAAACAAGATTACGATTGAGGAGGCCTGGCACCGATTCAGAGGAGAGCAATTCATTTGCAAGGTGGCACTCGTGATCCTATCATTTGGTCATACTCCGTACTCCTTCAAGAAGGAATATGGCAACTTCGAATACTCCACCAACTTGACTGACGTCCAGCTTGAGGAGTTGAAAGCGAAGAAAGCCAACGCAATGACTGAATTGGTACAGAAGTGCATCCATGCGATTTATGGTTGTCGGACATATTCTTACTTTAGAACCGACGTTACATCACCCAACCACAAGGTGATCGATCCTCTGGACATCATGTACTCGAGAATGAAGAGCAAATGGGAGAAGTCTATTCTGCTGATCATTGATCAACATGAGATCAGGTTGCCCCCACACGCTCAGAATGTCGTAGAGTCAATGGCCAGAAATCCCAACATTGGACATACAGAGAGATGGATGAGCGTGGTAGAACAGAAGCATGTTCAAGCTCTTACCGATCGTCTAGGCTTTGGAGATAGGGCCAAGGAGATTCAGGGCAAGAAGAAGCAGGCAGCCAAGGCAACAGCTAAGTCAACATCAACGACTAAGTCTGAAGCGAAAGCAGCATCTTCGTCAAGAGCTGAGGCAAAGCCAGCATCTACACCCAGAACCGAGGCCAAGCCGTCGTCAGCACCAAGTGAGGAGCCAAAACCTTCAGGAGCACCTAAGAGTTTCGGACCCTCATCAGCAGAGGAGAACAAGGCGAAGGCTGCTCCAAAAGCCAGACCACATGATAAATCACCATCCAGTGCTACCGATGTGTTTGAGCAAGCTTTGCAGGAAGATCTTGCCGCCAACGCACATGCAGCAGAAGGTACAACTTCTTCATCATCCCGAGGATATTCCAAAGGAGGAGGCCAATCTGGAACATCTTGGAGGCCGGCGCTAACGCAAGAACGTCGCGAAGTACCTCAACCTTCTGAAAAGGGGAAGGGAAAGAGCAAGTCCAAGGGAAAGTCCAAGAAGGGAGAAGATGATCGGCGGGATGCTCAGGGCAGCTGGGATCATCGTGGATGGAGAGGTTATCGCCAGTGGTGATTTCTTTGAACGACTATGAGGATACCATGCAAACCAGGGAGGAAGTCATTCACCGGATGTCTATCTGATCTGAAACGCTGTAAGTGTATCATTGCAAATCATCGGATTGACGATTTGATACCATGAGCATAATGGAAGGCAGACAGTCACCGACTGTCTCTCCGACTTGCCGTTCTGTAAGTGTATCCAAACCAAAACCTACATCTTTTGAGAAGTGTGAAGTCAGTTGCCGATGTGACATCTACGTGGAAGTCACCAGTTCGGATCTACATCAAAGCGATGCTCTTTTGAGTGGATACTGAGCGAGGCCTCGTGACTGTCTCACTTGTTCAATTCGATTTTCATAGGTTCTGAGCCATAGTTGCACACTTTATATGTAAAAGTCCGCTTTAGTCCAGCATGTTTCGTAGTATGAGCCTCATATGAGTCTCGCGGCAAATCATACAATTCTTTTGTAGCACTTACATCCCTAAATTTTCGTGTGTGATCGGAACATATTGTTGCCGTTCACATGGGGGGTGCGAATGGAAGTGCAGCGACACGTACAGTGCAACTTGTACATATATATGTACCATATGTACTTTGGCTCAAGGATCAAGCGACTAGAAAAGGTGCGGTTTCCGTTCCGACGCTACGCCGCTTATGGACCGTCAGTGATAGCTTCAAACTTCGCTGATTAAGATCCACTCGCAGTTTGTTTGTTTGTTTTTGTTTGTTTGTGTGTGTGGTGATGTGGTGTTGTTGCTTCTCGTTTCGGAATGGCCGATGAATCATTGTTTGCAGGCAATACCTCTGAAACGTCCGATGCAGAGGAGCAGAAGGCGCTACCGAGGCACTGCGAGAGGGCGAACATGCATGCAGTCTGCAGTGACCTCATCCATGCAGTGAGAGGTGAATATATACTGATTCAATATACTACAAAAGACCATGTGGGTGTCGAATTGACCAGGGGAGACTAGCCCTGTTCGACAGCCCCTGGCTGGGTGGACTATGATAGACGAATTGATTGACTGGTCGATGTCCCTGCCGCCGGGGTCGGAACGCCGGCGGTTCGGTCTCCTGACACCATGCTGACTGGTGCAACTCGTAGGGAATGAGGGTGGCTGGATCCAAAGGAATCTCGATTGGGGGCTCATTCCCTCATTCTCTACGAGTCGCACTAGTCAGCATGTCTCAGAAATGGACCTGGTCATTAGACTCGTGACTCTTGGACCATGTGCATCCATGTGTGAGGGAAGCGGTTTCCAGATAGGGACCCCTTCTGATCCTTTTGCCTCCTTGAATTGCTTTGTGAATGAACAAGGACTCATCATATAATACAGTGTTGGTGAAAAGCTTTCCGGCGCGGCAGGCACCGGCGCTGGTCGGACTCTGCAGAGGCGTGGACAGCATGGAAATCCATGTTCCTCCTTTGGAAAGGGTGAGAGCCTGAAGAGGATCCCTAATTCAAATCCGTAGGGATCATCAGGGATCAATTCATGAAGGTTTTTGGTGCTCCGTTGCCAGAATCCTTGTTAGAGGAACTGAAGTTGTGGCATGATTCCGGTATGTCCTGGTGTTTGGTCGAGTGCCCCCATTTGGTTCCGGGGTGAACTCTGGCTCTGGTTGCCGCGTTGTACGAAGCACCTTGAGGTTTGTTTGTGTACGGAGCCAATTCTTTTGACATACACTCCGCCTCACTAACATGGAAAGTGGAAAACCTTTTCCAAGAGACCCTTTTCATCCATTCCATCCACTTCCATGTGATGTCTTCGTCGGAGTCTGAGTCTAATTATAACCTCCAGTGAGTGTGCGACACTGCCGCTATCGGCACATCTCCAGTGTTTTAACATGTTTTATCCCTTCAATGCTATTCCGACTATTTCCTTTCAGGCAACGAAGGCAATGGTCAAAGAGAAGGGGATGTTTGGAAGTCCACATCCCGATTCACTGCATACACTCTGACGAACACATCACATGGAAGTGGATGCCATGGTCCCTTGGAAGACTACTGTATCCTACGAACAGGGGGCGCACTTTCCACCTCCATATGATGTGTTCATGGGAGTGTGTTTTCCGTTCGAGCACTGCTGACATTGAGGTCGAAACAAACAAATTTCAAAGGTGGTGTGTGGCAGAATGCCCCGTAGCTGGCGGAATGTTCGGTCCGCACATGACTAATGGTTTGCCAACATGGTCTACCTGGATTTGTTTCACCCATCAGACTCAAATGAATTCACACCAAGTCCCAGTCCATGGCTTGGGTGTTCCAGGTTGATGCTCCGCCCCGGAGTTCTTTTGCAAGAACTCCAGTTAAGGATGTAGGACACTTTGGGACCTCACTGTTTCAACCGTCAGGAAGAATTGGTGGCCCTGGATGATTTCCTCAAGGCATGGAAATTGTGTCCGCATGGCTTCCCGCATTTGTCGAAGACCAGAGACCCGAGCAACTATATACCTGGACCATCCCGTTGGGGTGTCCTGGCTGGACAGCATATATTTTTTCACATGCATTTATTCCCACACATCTAAGATAAAAAATAACTTACTTTAGAATATATTAACCTACACAATGTATCACAAACACCATTACATGTAAACTGTGAATTTATACAGGGATTAGTTATATTACAACAAACTGCTCCATTAATATCACGGATTGGACTACCCTACACTCTTGGGATCTCAATCAAACACCATATGTATACTGTTTGTATGTATGCCTGTGTGCACTAATATGCAGTAATACACATGTATATATATTATATATATATACACCTGCAACCTCTACCGGGTACAATTTTAGACCCTGCTCCTAAGTACCGAAATTTCAGACTCTCACGTTGAGATCAGACCCAAAAGGATCAAAAAGGCCCTCACTGTCTTGGCAAATTGGACAAATCATGCAGGTTGACAAGGGAAGACATGTGAGCACATACCATGTATTGTCAAATTGGTTCAAATACAAAATGCATCAACAGCACCGGTGCTAACGTCAATTGGATCTATTTCCATGTTCTTATCACAATTGTGCCTGCTCGGGCCCTTTGAGGAACCACGAACGTGAGTTTGCACACTCATCTCTCATTTTGCACGAAAAGAACGGCCTCAAGCACTTTTAGCTCTTGTTGGAGCTCTTCGTCAGTTTTGTTGTCCAAGGCATTTTCTTTTGAAGGATGTGGATGAGACACATCTATTTTTTGACTAGCCCAACTCCCAACTGCTCCCATTGCAACACCATCGGAAGTTCCGGGTACAGGATCGGATCATGACCTTCAATAGGTGGCTCATCGGTGCAGGGGAGACGGTTCGTTACCTGTCTTTTTTGGGGCCTGGCGGCGGACGTAGGATTTGACAGAGGCAGGTGAGCTGCAGCCCCAACCTGATTGAAAAATGCAACATCATATATGTTAAACAAAAACTCGGTGAGTGTAATTGCTGCTTTTCCCATCCATGGGGGTGCTATAGTCGTAGCCGAAGATACGGCCCACCTGAGCCAACCGCCCGAAGGCCAGTCCTCATGCTCCTTCCCCGCGGCCGAAGGAGGCGCGAACCAAGGGCTGAACATGGGCTATCAGCCTTGAAGATCTGACTCTTCATCATATTGAGCATGGGCTATGTTTGTTGGCTTTTGCTATTGGGGCTTGTTTGTGGTGGATGTGTTGCAGTTCCATTGGCGCGTACAGGAGAGTTATCACATGTTCTTACAGGGTCCAGGTACCTCTTGAGGATAGGTCTTGAGGCTGGAGTACTTCCATCCGAGGCGGTCAGAGATCTGGAAGATCGTGTGGCATTCCTGGAGCCTCTCGGATTCTCCGGTCGTAGCAGCTTCAGCATCGTTTCGCCCAGCTGGACGCTGGACGTGTCGGAACGCACGCGATCTCGCACGGCTTGACCTTGGAGGTCGGATCGAAGACACACAGTCCAGAACTGCAAGGACGTGTCTTCAAGAACTGCAGCCCTTCGAGGCCAAACCAATAGGCCCAAACAAGCGCCCGCTGAAACACCCAAACAAGCGCCCTTTTGGATTCGGATGGATTCAGTGTCCAATTTGTGGAACATGGAATTCGATCTCTGACATCAACCAGCCATCATCTCTTTGGTCCTCCCACGTCCTCACACCCACGTCCTCACACGTCCTCAGGTTCTTTCTGTATCCCGCCGCTGCTCCGAAGACCAAGCTCCGCGGCGGCATCGACTTGTCGCCCTCGGGGATGGGGGGCGCAGAACGGGGTGGAGGCGGCGGGAGGCGGCCGGGGGGGGTTCAAAGCCACCGTGGCTTCGAAAGGCGTGGAAGAGTCACAGGATTTAGTTGTACCATGGTGTGGGATCGATATCATGACAGATCCATGGTGTGCAGCCGTACAAACCATGGGTCTCGTGCCGACTCGGATTTCGCCGCGCCATGGGGCCATCCGACTTCCTGCCACCGGCTACGCCACCCTCCCACCTTCAGACCTGGCGCCCGGTCTGGCGCAGGTCTGCCCTCACAGTAGCACAACGAGTCGATTTGATCGATGGTCATTTGTGGGGCAACGAGTCGCAGCTCTTCGAGGCGGGCTGTTTGGGCGAGCTGGGGCTGCGACTTGAGGCGGCTGGGGGAGCGACCTGTGGCAAAGGTCGAGCAAATCGCCGACCCTTGGGCGGCCCTTGGTTTTCTTCTTCGCTTGGAGAAGAGGAAGTGTCCTGAAGATGGATCTATGCGAAAGAAATGCGCTCTCCAACTGTTGGGGCCGTCAGCACCCAAGAGGTCCAACAACCTGTAAAGGACAGGGACTGGGAGAGTGAAGACCACAAGGTCAGGGATTGGGTGCTTCGCGACTTGATTTCGAATGCCAAGCTGCTGGCTGTGTGTATCCGGGAATGTCACTTTGCTCCAGGGTGTTGGTGCGGTACATGATGGCTGTCACATGTCAAGACTGCTCCATCAAAATAGTCACAAATGAAAACCCAGCAAGCGCCGGTGCTTCAATTCTTTCCGCACTGTAGGATATGACTCACAACCTGCCAATACCTTTTCACTTGGTTCTTTTTTTTTTGGTTCTTCAAACTGTCGAAGGTCCTGACATGGAAAAAATATCAACCTCGGAGTTGTTCTCCCCCTGTAGCAGGCTCATGAACAATGGACCTCTCAGTGTGGTTTGTTATACACTGGGGGCTCAGTGACCACATCAACATACATCAACCCTCCAACGAGTCTTTTCGTTTTCACCTGCGGGGACCAATCAGCAGGTCTTGGAGCTGAGCCAGCGAGTGAGGCCAGCCAGTGCGCGCAGCGGATCGCATAAGTAATGGAGACTCCTCAATATCAACACCAAAAAATCAAATATTGATGATTAATTAACTAACTATTTACGGAACTATTCAACAATGAACCGCATATAGACATTATTTTAGAGGGTGTTTATTTAAACGAAACATACCAGAGCAATCATGTAGACACTATTCTAGGGGTAGTTATTATTAAACAATGTAAAAGCGTAGACGTTATTCAAGGATGTGGTTTAATTAAATACCTAAAGAACAGACAGTATTGCAGGTGGTGATATTGATTTAGAGTAAAACACATTTTTAACAAATAAACTAAACAATAACATACACAAAACAAACAATATAACAACAATAAAAAAACACAATAACATTAATGATAAACACACACATAAATAGATATGTTTTTCTTTAAAACAAAAGTAAAAACAAATACATAAACATTAAACAAGTAAAAACACATTGTAAACCCGTTGCAGACATTAATCCGGGGGGTTTACTAATCGGCAGTCGACATAAATATTATATGTATATATATATTGTTTTTGTTTCTCATTTAAGACCCCGAAGTCGATAGAAGAGTATATAGATCCCTACTCAAAAAGTATTGGAGACCGTGCCACTATCATTTTGGGGATCACTATAACCTTTAAGATCCTTTATGTAACCTTTTTGGGGGGTCGGTTTCCCACTCACCAGGTCGAAAAAGGTTTAATCCTTTATTTTCCAGCGTTAACGGCTAGGGAGCCAGGATCAGAACCTCCCATCAACCAAGGATGATGCTTGCTTCCATTGATCATCACAAAAGGCATGTGACATCCGGGTGACACGGTTTTAGGGATTGGATGGATTTGCTGGTGGTCCGCAAACAATGCAGCAGAAGCATGCACGTGGAAGTGAGTTCTGAAGACACCCCGACCATGGAGCAGATGCTATAGCTGCTAGAGATCATGAGACGCTACTGGAAGCCGAAGTACACACCACAGGCATCCATTTCGAAGAAGTCTCCGGACATCAAGCCGTTGGATGGAAACGTAGCGCTTTCCTCACCAGTGTTGTGAAGTTGAACATTGTCCACTGGCCCTTTCTTGGGCGACTTGATCCACGCCGATGGTGGTGCCTCAAGCAGCAGGAGACACAAAGGAAGCTGATAGAAATCCCAGTTCGCGTGGTTTGCCCAGTTCGCCCTTGTGAAGCGCTCCGGGCGTCCATGCACAGCTAATTGCTCCGGGCGGCAGATTCGGCAGTCCAACGACTGCAAAGCAACAGAATCAGCTTTCGGAGTGTGCCAGTGGGACACGTCACCAAGAAATGGAAACCAGATTCTCACATTCAGCAGCTGGCGCAGGCTAGTCAGCAGCAGGCTACTCAGTCACAGGCTTGCATGGCATCCATTGCCACGGCCTTTCAAGGCCCCATTGCGCAGGCAAAGTTCAGTGAAGCTCGTCAAGTCGAAGAAGAGGATCCTCCAACAAGTATCAGCGGACCGCGGAGGATCTTCCACATTGCATTACATCCATTTTTTTACTTCAGTAAATCCAAGGACCTTTCTGGAGACCAGTTTGACCTCCACTACCATGTTGACTCCGGAGTTTTTGGAGTTCAACGTGTCCACGATCGAGGGCACCACATCGGTCAAAAAGGGCTCCACGTTGCGGGTCTTTCTGCGGCAGCCGAGTGGGCAACAAAAACACCTCCAGAGCTTTGCAGTGAGTAGAGGAATCTAGCACTGAGTGTTGGCATGGATGCATCATCAAGAAATGTTCATTCTCCAGGTGTTCATGAGACAATTGCTTAATATTGAGATGTGTCCTCGAAAAAAGGCCCCGGAGCAGTAGGAACAACATATTATTTAGACTGTTTTGCTACTTGGTCAAGTTTTGGGGATCCTGACTTTGAGACAAGCCATTTTAGATCATGTTTGCGCACGTGATCAATGGAAGGGTGGAAACAACAAAAACAAGGGAGACTCACCCACTGCAGGGGACATACTTACGACATCTAACAGGAGAACTAATCGTATAACATAGTATAGTAATTAGTATAGTGCAAAAACATGTGTATGTATATATATAGAGAGATAGATATAATATATAGATATAGATATAGATTTCTACATGTGGTGCAAATGTATGCATATATGCATATGCTTTTCCTTGGCCCCATGAATGAGCAAAAAGACACCGCAGGATCCAGCCAAATTCAACCCAAGCTTTTGATAGGTGTTAAACAGAAAGGAGACCAAGCCTATCTCAGAATTCAGCTACAACAGCCCGAAAGAACCGACAATAACGCCTCCGGCCTATAATGCCAACGCCAAAGGACCATTAAAAGAACGATTAATAAACATAAAATACTATGTCGGGCCAGCGGATGGTGGCATGCCTGAGCGCTTTCTTTCGTGCTAAACCAGGGGGGTGTCGGTGGAAGAAGTTCCTGCCTGCCCGCCAGGCTGGCCGAGCAGGCGCTCTTGGGGCTGCCCAGAGCCACTCAGCTGCAGAACGAGCGAAAAGCGAAAGCAGAGGGTGCCAAGACGAGGTCTGGCCCTACAAAGGTCTAGCTTTTCTATAGGTTTGTTGAGTTTGGTCAGTGGTTTTATTGAACACCACGACAATGGGATCCACTCGGGATCCACTGGGCTGCTGAACAAAGACCTCACAGAATTCAGAATGATTATTGGAACTTGATGTGTGTTGATGGGGAGGACTGGTCGCTCGACTCCTGAGCAGTTCAGATACCCAGTTGGCCATGAGAATGGGCGAGAAGTCACATGACCAATGTCCTTCTCCACACTGCAATGTTGTGTTGACTTTGCCGTGCTCGTCAGGGTCCCTGATGCGCGTGTTGATGGCGCTGCGATTCCGATTCTGCGTGGCGAGTCCGGCTGGCGCGGGGTGGAAGATGAGAGGACCCTCAAACGTGAGCCGACTTGGCCATTAGAAGGTAAACTGGTGTTGATTTGCTGAATGTTTAGACACATGCAGCCAGGGACTAAGTGGATATTTTGGGTTTTGGGCGGTGACTTTCATCAAGCAGCTCGATTTCAAATTTGATCAACTTGTTTGAGACACCAAGTCTGTGCTAGGTTCTAAATGGCAAGAGTTGAGTTAAATCCAGAGAAGAATGAGGCATGCGACACACCGCAGAGCTTGCCGTTATGAAACGAGATGGGAAGAATATCCCAGGCAAGAAACGTGCTCGATGGTGCTGGTGCCTTGGCCTGTCCGTGATGTGGACCAGTGTGGGCATAGTGACTGTAAAGTCTGTAAATATACGGTAAAACCTTTGTGATGACGTCGAAGCATTTGGGCTGAAATCACGCTACTATGAATTTGCATGGCCCATCGCATCCCATTGCTCTTTTTAAGGCTATAAGGCTAGGGCAATCTGAGCAATGAGCTGAGCGATTGAGTCATGAATCACCCCAGCAGCCTGAACTTTAAATCAAGATAACTACTGCTTTCTGTAGTGAAGCCTACTCCAGCTGGCCAAGACGTGAAAAGGTCGCCAAAGTGCAAACTATTTCACCTGCGCTGGCCGGATCAGCAACATGCAGCCTATGTGTGATGCAAAATGCAGCGGGTCTTCCGTCATCTCTTCCTTCAGGGCGATAACCTTCAGCGGATGTCTGAAGTTTCAGCTAGAACGCAGTCCGCAGCAGAGGGTGTTTTCTTAGGCCTTGCTTAGGCACCCAGGGTTTCGTGCGTGGTGGAGTGCTGGCCCAAGACTTCCAACGATGCAACGGCAGTTCTAGGCTCTCATCTGCTGGTGCTGCAGGATCACCGAGAAGGTCGGAAGGATCTTTTTGGGGAGTTTCAAAGGTGCAGGTAGGAAACCTTCAGCAACTACTTTGATCCTCGTTTTTCTTAGAGTGTTTTCCCTTCGTGTGAGCCGCCTGTGTTTGCTTTTTTAAAATATCAAATTCCTTCAGTTCCTTCAACAACTCCAAGTACTGCAAGAAATAGCGCACCTGCTTTTGTTTCCACAGTGCTGGGGGTAGGGTCACCTGAGAGGGATCGTGAGATTCCCTGAAATCTACTCCCCTCAAGACTCTTATGGCTCAATGCCCAGATGGTGACCTTTCTAAGGCACGCCGGCTTGTCAACACGGACCGGACTGGAGAAAATGCATCGAGGGTATCCACGGACAGGTCTTGATGAAGCTCCCACTGATCCTGAGCTTCTCCCCAAAAAGAACAACAGTGTCTTTGGCATTTGAACCACGAGTTCTGGGGGGCTCTGGAGATTCCTGGAGATACCGTTATGTTAACCACTTAGCATAACTCTGATGGGTTTGCAACATATTTAAACAACAACTACAAAAATGATCAAAAAATATAAAAAATATAAAACAACAAAAACACATCCAAACAAGCAAAATAAAGCAAATGAAAAGGCAAAAGCAAAGACAACAAATCAAAAACAAAACAAGCAAATGAAAAAGCAAACGCAAAAAAACAAAAAAAAAACAAGCACATCCAAAAGGCAAAAAACATGCAAATGAAAAAGCAAAAAGCGAAAAACAAAGCGAAACACAAAACAAAACAATAGTAAATAACAAAAAGTTGAAAAAAAACAAAAACAAACAAACAACAGCGCAAACACAAAAGGAACAAACAAAAGAACAAAAAAAACATGTCTAAAAAGAAAAAACAAACAAAAAAACACATGCGGACAAGCAAAAAGAAAAACAAATAACACGGAAAACGCGTAGAATTGCTGTTGCTTTTTCATTTGTTTTTTGTCGGCTTTTTGGATTTGCTTTGTTTTCTTTGCTTTTGCTATTTGTAGTTGTTTTTGTTTTATTATTTCCAAGACTCTCAGAGTTAGCATGGGTGCGGCGAACACAAAGATACCGGTGTTGTGGCGGTTCCGCTTTCGCGGATGAGTGTGATGAGTACAAGAAGTCGGTGGGTTTTGCAGCACCAGCGGGGGTGCTCCTTGAGCAAGATAGTCCAAGCTTTCCAAAAGGAAGGGCTGCACAACGTGGGCTGCAAGAAAGTACGCAACAAAGTACTTTGACTGTCACCGAGGTGGCCCTGAAGAAGGGTTACCCCTATAACTAATACTGAGGTTGGGGAGTAGAGGTCGGGATTTCCAAGTTGGGGGGACTTGAAATGAACTATACTGTATATATAGATGTATATAGTATATAATATATACAGTAGAAGTCCTTTTCAACAAGTTTGTGACTGGGGGTTTTCTCCCGGGGGGTGGTCCAGCTGCTCAGCATGCCGCTCACCCATGATGCAAACCGGCAGCACTCGTTGTGAGCTCCACGGCCAAAGCGGGCCAGTGGAGTTTCTGATCAGCGACCAGTACCAGCACGTGGCAGAAAAAAAGAGAGGATACACTCCGACTGAGTAACATGGAAGTGGAACATGGCCCCGTGGAAGACCATGTTCCTGGAGCTCCACAAACAGAAGTTTTGCACTTCCATGTTAGTGAGTCGGAGTGTAGCCGCTTGCCCTTGACTGTCCAGGTCCAGGTTTGTTGCTATTTTCCTTTCGTCACATCGTCCTCATTGTATGCCTGCCATGGGTCGGCTTTGCCGGAGATGTCAGATGAGTCAGACATGATTAGCGTAACAAGTAGTCGATGGCCCAAACAAAAAGCTACATCATCCACTAACTGCACGTCCACCTTCAAGGACCTTGGCCTTGGTCCTCACTTGAGCCATGGAAAAGCGTAACAACATTCCCAGCACGTCACTGACATTGATTCCGAAAGCCGAAAGTAATTAGAACTAGAACATACCACTACCCAGACACTCTATGCCATATTTGCATACATGGAGCCCTTTTCAACCACCCGACCCCAACTGATCACCCCTTATATGTCAGTCCCAGACAAGTCGTGTTTGGTATGGAGTCGGTTGGTGCGATCCCATTCGATCCGGCGGCAGGTGGGCGCCGCAGCGGAATTCAACCGCCTGCAGCTGGAGGGCCCAGGTGTTAAACGCGGCGGACGCGGTTCGGACGCAGCGAAAAGCTGCGATAAGCTGTTTGACCGCGCAGGCGCTGAAAGCATATTGGATAGGGATGTATGCACACGACCAATGTGGGGATGATTGTCCTTTTAACTTTTGAGGCCCTCATTGGCTACGATTTGAAATTCTATTGTTTTGTCATGTTTTTTTGACTTTGTTTGGGAAGGGCAGTAGTTGTGGGTGACGTGGAGCTTTATGTTGAGGAACCAACGACACACATGTTTGCATGTGCAAGGCTATATGTCGAAGGGCCCCTTCTTTATACCTTCCTTCCGTAAGGTCCCTTTGGTTCATCAAAGATACTACTAAACCGACCCCTATAGTGTTTGTTTAAGCTCAAAGGTCTGAAGATCTCTTCAGAATAGGCAAGTTCTATCTATACTCGACCTCCTGGGGGGTCCACGTGTCCTCAGCGGCCGATGCTAAGGGCACAAATGACCTGGGCCGGCAACGTTGGTTTGGGCTCTGCAGTGCCTTGGTGGGCTCGCCTCGGTGGACCTGAAAATGCATTAAATCATGAGAAAGCATGGAAGTGGAATAGAATGGGCATGATACACACACACATGTGCTTATATAGTACTGTATATATCCCAGACACTTTAATATATATATATATATATATGTGCCTACATTGGGGTGGTTGAAAGGGGGTCAATGTAGACATATATACCATACATCGAGTGTTTGGGTATTGATAGAATGACATGGAATGATCCAACTACTTTGGTCAGAGTTCAAGCGCACTGAACTCGATTTCGCCACACCCATTTTGGTTCGTGGGCTCGAGGGCTCTTGGAGCGTTCCCCGGTCCATTGACATGGTGGTTTTGACATGTTTGTTCTGGTGGTTCTGCCAATAGTGGGCAGAGCACCCTTCTCTCGTGATGGTTTACATGCCTTTCTGTTCATTTTGGAGCCACGTTCGGTGGTGTGGTGCGGTGGCCGAAGCTCGGAAGTTCCTTTTACAGGTCTACCGGTCGTGGGTGGCCTCAGGTCAGTGTGATGGCTCTCTTGTCCTATGCCACTATTGGAATGCGCCTTGTCTCAGAATAGCAGCCGTAACTCTGAACACCTATGATGGGTCTCTGGCTGCAGGAAGAGGATCATGATGGGCTGGTCTAGACGCTAACCCCTATGGTGAGCGTGCGCGCTTTCGGGACGTCTCCCTTTCAGTTCTTTTTGTGGTTTCTTTCCAGCACCTTCCTTTCGGGGTCTCCAATGCAATAGCCTACACTACCTGTGGGTCTCCTTCGAACACCCCTTTGCAGGTCCAGGTGGTGTTTGTCCCTCTCTTTGCTCCAGCACGCCGTCTCTTGCAGCTTCCGGCATCTGCATGAAAGGTGGAAGGAGGTGAGGCTGGTGCATTTGGAGCCGTGATGTTCCGCGACTAGGAGCATACATAGTCATGCCGCTAGCCACAAGGCAACCATTGACGACCCTGTTGACTCTTTTTAAAGGGACAGCAGCACGTGATATCTTGGACACTCCACCTTCCTCTACACATAGAAGGTTCCCCTTCCAGGTGTTTTTCTTTCAAAGCCATTTGATTGTGCCCTGCTGAAGACTAACATGGATTGTTTTTTCCTGAAAATGGTTTGTAGAAAACCGTCTTTTAGGGTGCCAAAACCTCCCCGGGTCCATGTGAGGGTTTCCCGGGAGTGCCGCCATTGTCACTGGACCATACCACGTCTTGCTTGGTTTCGTAGCGCGCTGCTTGGAAAAGCCACTGTCCAGGGCTGAACCTTGGGTATTTCTACCGTTATGCCCTGACTCGCGGGGGTGGGAGGAACTCCATCAGTGCGCCGGTGTTTCGACCGTTTTTCCATCGCTGAGGAGCCACAAGTCCAACTTTGATCGAGGGCAGATAGCTGCTTGACCAGGAGGTCAGAACGATGAATTGACGAACCAATTCTGAGCATCAAAAAGCCATTTGGTTGGGAGAACCTGGATTGGGTTGGTATCCTGGTCCCTGGGTACCTGGTCTGATTGTAGATGCACTGTTTTTGTTTGCAGTAAAGCTTGGTGGATGTTCCTGGTTTCAGCTCTGTAGAGCGAACTTGGACATAGCCATCGCCACAACCCCCCCCGCGCGCTTCACGATGAATGCGGAGAACGATCCCCTCGCCGCACTGGGTTTCGGAGTTTCAGTCAAATGAAGCACCCAGCTGCGAGGAAAGGGGCCCTGCCCGTCTCAGATCCCTCCGCCCTCCGTTCGGGTCCGTCCGAAGGCTCCTAGTACTAAGGCCAGGAGCCCCTAGTAGATTCTTGTAGTAAGAATGCTCCTAGTAGATCAGCCCCAAGCCGGTGTGATGCGGCGGAAGCTCAGCCAGGATCCTGTCACTTACCACTGTCCAGACGGCAGCATTTGAGTCATGCAAAGGTTCAATCCTGTGCGACCTTGTCTTCTCACAAATGATCAAAATGAGAAGGGTAATTCCCCAAACCCTTTATCCAGCTTGCACCCAGCTTGTGAACCTTGATGCCCTGAGCCTGAGCTCTTTGAGGCAACCGCAGGGAAACTTGATCCAGTTTTTACCAGGTGGAAGACACGGCCCACCCCGGCGGCCAAGGCTGCTGCTGTTGCTTTCATCCTGGCTTGGGGCTCCATCATTGGAGGCTCGGATGGTGATGAGCAAGGCCCTCCACTTTGCCAAGCGTTTCGCTTTTGAGGTTGCGCTCGTGCTTTGTTTGTTTTTTTTTTTTTTTTGGGGGGGGGGGTTCAACAACATCATTGATGTATACTGTATGTATGTGTTGTTTTTCTCCTGTGGTTTGCTCGCTGGCTTGGTCTTGAGTCTTTGGACTGGT